AGGGCAAGGGAGCAGCCCTCGCCCCAGACATCACCTCTCGGGAGGCACACGCTCCTGACCATGCGCAGAGTGACTGAGGCAGCCTCCCCCACCCGGCACCTGCTCGGCGCAATCACCGCTCGGCCCGCATCGGCTGGGGAGGGGCGGCCGCGAACCGCGAACCGCGACCTCCGCCTGGGGGAAGCGCGGGGCATTTGGGCCCCAGCGCCGCGGCTGCCCCGGTCCGGAGCGGGGCGCGCCCCCGCGTTGCCCCGGGCGGGGCACGGCGAGCCGGGCGCGCAGCCCAAACCGGGACCCGGGCGGCGGCGGCGGCGGCAGATGGGCTCAGTGGCGGATGGGCGCAGCGGCGGCGGATGGGCTCAGTGGCGGCAGATGGCCGCAGCGGCGGCGGATGGGCGCCCCCTCGCCCCGGCCGGGCTCACCTGCTCGCGGGCGCCCGTCGGTCCGTCTGCGGCGGAGGCTGCAGCTTGTGCGGGAGGCGCGGCGCTCGCTCCGGCTGTAAAAGCGGCGCCGCTGCCGCAGAGCTACGTGACTCGGGCCGGAGGGGGAAGGGGCGGGGCCAGCGAGCCCCCCCCGCTCTGGCCCCGCCCCCCGCGGAGGCGAGCCGGGCGGGGCGGGGGCCGCGAGCGAGGGGGTCGCCGCCCGGGCCGAGGCGTCGCTTTCCTCGGCTCCTCTCTCGCCGCCCCTCCCTCCCGTGCCAGGGCACTCTGTGCATGCTCGGAGACTGCAGTGCAGGGCTGCCCCTCAGCGAGGAGACGCAGATCGGGCACCGGGCCGTCCTGAGTTGCTGAGGATCCTGGGCAGCTGGGAGGCGGGACGGCCGGTCCGGCGTGTGGGGCCCCCGCTCAGCCCCCCAGGCCCCCGCTGCCGAGCGCAGGAGCCGACTCGGTGCCCCCGACACGGTGTGTCACATGCAGCATCCATCGCCCCCCCGCCTGTCCTCCCAGGGGGCTTGCTCCTCAGCCCCTTGTCCTCCCAACAGCCCTGCGAGGTGGGCCCTGAAGCCCCCCCATGGCTTTGCAGCACAGGGGGGGCTCGAACCGGGCAGGGTGTGAGTCTCTGGTCCACAACGGCTTGCAGGAGAGGGGACGGCAAATGTACCCCCAGGAAGGAGTTTGGGGCCCCTCCCACCACGGGGCATCTAGTCTCGCCTCGCGCGAAAGCCAGGAAAGCGAAGAATCCAGGGCTTTTCGACCGGCCCTCCGGCCCACCCCCCCTGTGGGGGCACCCAGGCCCCGAGCAGCGCCCGTGGCAGCCTTCCCCGGTGCCAGACTGCATCTCCCATCACTCCCCGCCTCTGGCGGGAAGGTGCCCCCCAGCCCTCCCTGCGAAGGTGGCCGGGTGTCCGTCTGCCCGTCCCCTCCGCACCCTCTTGAAACAAGCTTCCCAATGAGCGCGGCGCATGCAAGCTGCTTTGGGGATCTGGCGATCGAGCGCCCTCCCGTTTGGGGCAGCCTGGGAGCCACACCGCAGCCGAGGGCGACCCCACAGATCCAGGATCGGGCGGCCTGCGCCGTGGGGGACGAGGGCCCGGCTCCTGGACCCTGCCCCTGGCTCGTGCCCCCGAGCGCTCGGATCTCGGCAGCTGGGGGGCTGCACTGCAGCGGGTGCCTGCCCTCCATGCGCAACGTGTGGGCCTGCATGAGTGAGGACGGATTAGAAACCCGCGAGGGATTAGAGGCGGCTTCACCCGCCCCCCTTCAGCATCCGGCCGCGTCGCCCATCTGGTGGCAGGAGCAAGAGACGCCGTCTGAGCCAGAAGCTTCCTGGAAAGGGTCAGCATGCACTTTCTGTGGAAGCGCAGCTCATGCTCTCTGCACATGCCCAGTCTCTAGACCTCATGGCTAGCAGGTTTGCTGGGGAGCGCAAAAGCTTGCCCCCGGTTTCCTGCTGCAAAGACTCCGATTTGGCAGGAATGCGACTTGATTCAGATA